CTTCCGCACCGGCGGGGGTGAGCTCCACTCACTCAGACCTGCTGTGTTCCACCCCTCGTGGGAGGGAGCATGCAGATGAGCAGGTGCAGGAGCTTGGGAGAATGTTTTTGGGCACTGGCAGGACCAAACTCTGTGCGGGCCCAGCAGCAACATCTAGTGGGGTGTTCATGACCCCTAAATCCCCAGAGGGCATGTTACAGTGATCCTTTAGCTCTGCCATCCACGGACAGCTTAAGTGTTAACAACTCAGTTGGCCCTTTTGTATTTGCACACTTGGCTTCTGAGCTCTTCCAACGTCCGGGAAAAATGAGGTTGCACAAACGAATTGAAGGATGGTAAATGCGGGGGATTTTATTGCTGATAAAAGTGGCTCTCAGCTGGAAGGGGAGCTGAAAAGGGGGTGGGGCAGGAAGGAAATCTTCTCCTGAACTCCAGCCATCTTCAGCCAGATTCTTCTCCATAGTTACACCATCAAGCTGTCCCGCTGCAGTCAAGCAGCTTCTCTCTAATGTCCAGCCATAGTCCCCAGTGTCCAGCTGCTTCTCCTCTCTTCCAGCTGAGTCTGAGGTTTTTATAGGCACAGGATGACGGGGGCAGTGGGGAGTGGTGGGCCATGGGTTTAGGAAAAGGCAACATTCGAGCAGGAAAACAGGGATGTCAGTTCTCACTTTGGGCTGTGGTTTCAGGCTTGAGGGTGGGGTTTTGTTGGGGACCTGCCCTTTTCTGCCTAGAATTTCTCTGCGTCCTGTCCTTATCACATGCATAGTGTCACAGCAGTTATCCAAAAAACTAGTAATAGATGTTGCTTCTACAAGGGAAAATGACAATGAGAGGGAGGAAGGGATACATTTTGCTTTAGAAATGTATTTTTAATTTTTTAAGGACAGTCTAATTAAGATGACTTCTTTACTACAAAAGCAATACTTGTTCACTATAAAAAATTAGAAAATACAGATTAAGCAGGAAAGAGAAACTATAAACTGTAGGGGAGAAAAAATAATTTCTTTTCTTTATCTTTTTTGGTTCTAAGTTGAGATACTCTCCTGAAAACAAAAGTCAGACTAACAAAAGAAAAACAAGCAGAAGTTTATTAACATGTACTGTACTCATCACACAGAAGAGGCCTCAGTTCAAAACTCTTTTTCTCTCTCAAGGCAGTGGCTTTAGAGGCCTTGCTTAAATAGTGTTTTAACAAAGAGCCATAAATTCTATTCAATGACAAGACAAAGAGGAGAGTATCTTCAGGCTTCCAAAAGGCACGAAAATGTGGGAAGGTAGATTTACGGTAAGAGTAAAGTCAGCTCACAGATCCTCTGGCAGCTGCTGTCTCTGAGATCTGCTTCTGAGCTGATAAGCAAATGTAGGGAAGGGGCCTACTTGTGGGTGGGGAAGGCAGGGAGGAGGAGCAAAGCGTGCCCTGCATTTCAACCTTTTTTGGCTCAACAGTCTTCAGCATTTTAGAGAGAAATATTTTGGTTTCCTTCAAAACATTAATAACTCACCATTCCATGAATACATACCTTAGCGTTTATCTTTTTGATTGATATATGTAGATTTTACAAAAACAGTATGGTTTTGAGTAATATTTGTGGTCTTCTTTTTCCATTTAAAATACATTAAAAATCAATGTCTAAGTTAGTAAATACTTCTGTACATCATTATTTTTAGGGGTTCACATTTTGACTGTGTCACACTATTTGACCAACTCCATATTGCTGGACATGGAATCTGTTTCTAAGTTTTCATGATTATAAACACTGCTGAGCCAAACTTCCTAGCTGTGTAATCTTTTGGCATGTGTCTAATGGCTTCCCTAGGATGAATTCCTAGAGCAGGACTTGCTGGGTCCAAGCGAATGCACTCACGTAGAGGTTTTTTTCAAAAATACTTACTAGCAAAGTACCGTCTAAAAACCTGTGCTGATTTATACTCTCACAACGTGTATGAGTCCCAGTGTCCATCAATTTAAAGCCCAAACCAGAGGCCTGAGCAGAAAGTGAGGCAGATATAACTAAACCCATACAACCTGGACACGACTGTAATACTCTCATCTTATGGTAAAATCAGTGGCATCTTTAAAGGTGCCTGTACTGGAATACTGGAAATGCTACAGAGAAGGATTTCAGACAAAGTTTGAGACAAGAAGCCAGAAACCCATAAGTAAAGTTACAAGGAAGATGATCTTCTCTTTCTTTCTCATGATAGCAGTGAGCTCTGATCCACTAGGGGGGACAAAGGGCCCTTCCCCATTTATTCCAACTCTCATCACTGTCTAAGCTTTTTCTAGATCTCTAACCCTTTTTTCAAGTTTTAGACATTCAATTCCCTTGTCTCCCCTAAGGAGCATTTAGACAATGAGAATCATCAAATGGTAATATCTTCTTTTTGTGAGTGTTGAGGAAGACGTTTCTTTTTAGATTTGCTATCTGCTACTTTCCCAAGTCTCAGGTATATACATTCCACAAGTTATCATCACCATTATTGCCAAGAAGCCTCCTGCTGGTGAAGCACCCTTTCAGATGACTTTCCTTTTTGTCTCAAAGACTCCTGGGAGGTAGCTTGCTTTTTGTCCCTTTTCAATAGCTGCCACAGCTGATTTTACATCTTGGGGATTTCCTTCTCTGAGTAGAGGATACTTTAAAAAATCTAATTATTGTTGTGATTATCTTACCTTGGCAGTTAAGATGAGCAAAGTGAAGATGTTTGACTTCGTGCATTCTGTGCATGGAGATCTTTTCTGTAGACATCTTTTCCCCCTTGGGAAAAGACAGAAGTGAAGGCCTTTCCATTGTTCAAGGTTCAAGTAATGGCTCCACATGTACCGTGAGCTCAAAACAATGTTCTGTGGATCACGTGACCCAACATATGAATGTTTTGGTCTACTGAGCATCCCAAGAAGTAAAATAATAGTTGGAGTTTGAGGAAGGGGCATAGAAAAGGCGCAGACCCAGGTCAGGTGCTTGGGTGGCTAGACTCATCTGGTGTTAGGCTTGTCCAACCTTGTCAGAATGAGGACGTGGGATCCAGTGCTTCTCTGGTCCTCATCAACCTCTTACATCAGGTCAGTGTGAGTCTTTTTTTTTTTTTTTTTAACTCGGGGACCCAAAATAGACAGTAGAGCCTGGGAGACTGGTGCCTTTTCCATCTTACTTTTTGGTCCATCCATGCCATAAATGGACTTCTTTTTCAATTGCTTCATGTCTTCATGTTTCAGAGTGTTCAGCTCAGATAAACCACTGGAGAGGACCAAGAGACTGTACATGATTGACATGAGTCCACTGAAGTCATCCTCCACCC